CTATGTTTTGGACTTCCTATCCTTAACTTTTGAACTTGTAACTGTAAGTTCAGGACTACATGTCCTTAACTTTTTAACTTGGAACTCTAAGTACAGGACTACCTGTCCTTAATTTCTGTGCTTGTATCTCTAATTTAAGGACTACATGTCCTTAATTTCTGTGCTTGTAACTCTAAGTTAAGGACCAAGTATCCTTAATTTGTGAGCTTGTTACTTGAAGTTTAGGACTACCTGTCCTTAACTTTTTAACTTGTAACTCTAAGTTCAGGACTAATTCTGTGCTTGTAACTCTAAGTTAAGGACTATCTGTCCTTAACTTTTTAACTTGTAACTCTAAGTTCAGGACTACATGTCCTTAATTTCTGTTCTTGTAACTCTAAGTTAAGGACTACCCGTCCTTAATTTTTGTGCTTGTACCTGTATGCTAACATTTTGATTCTTATTTTAAATACTATCTCACAGGATTTAAAGAAAAACCTAGGATCAAAGATTGATACTTTTTTGAAGCTTCTTGTCAAACCTCATGAAAGGACCATAGAGAGAGAACCTAGTGTTCCAATTAGCAAAGATGCAGCTGATGATCAATGTGATGATTCATAACCTAGTGTTCCAATTAACAAAGATGCAGCTGATGATGAATGTGATGATACAGATGTGCATGTAAAAGATCATTATGAAAGAGATTATAGAGATGCGCATCTAGAAGATGAAACTGATATTGGCATTGAAATTGGGAAAGGTTAGATATAGATTTTGAATTTGTTGTCATTTAAATTTATATTCAATAGCGTAATACATATAAACTTTTTTGTGATTATAAATGTGTGTAGAATCTATTGATGGAGTGGAAGTTCAAGATAGAGTGGAATGTCAAGACCAGGAAAATCCAAAAGAGACAGGAGTAACAGAAATAATTTGTAAAAATGTGGAGTGCAATCTCAGGATTTATAAAATCTATTGGGAACAAGTATAAGTGAGATTGTATGCAAATGTGTTAAAGGAATATATTATCTCTCTACACCTCTCTCACTTAAAGAGAAATTTGGAAATCAAAATGCTGCCAATCAAGGTTAGATGGAATTTTCATGATACGTTGAATGTTAGTTTTAGTGAACTATTAGTAACAAGTATTAATTATAAATGTTACACAATCTTTTGAAGCTGCAAGGATAGAAGATGGAGTGGACTATCAAGAGAGAAGTGGAGGACAATCTCAAGACTTAGAAAATACCCAACGAACAAGCATAAGTGAGATTATTTGCAAATGCATAGAAGGAACATATGATCTCTCTACACCTCGCTCTCTTACCGACAATATTGGAAGCCAAGAAAATACTAGTCAAGAAAATGGTTTAACTGGCATGATCTTGACAGTTGCAAAAGGTTAGACGTAGTTTTTTTTAATCTTATACATGTGTGTTTTAATCAAAGATTAGTAACAAGTACTAATTGTGTTAACTCTTGTAAATATTTTGCAGAATCTTGTGAACTTGCAATCGAAGAACATGGAGAACAGTTGCAAGATGAAGAAAATGCACAGTTGCAAGATAAAGAAAATGCAACCAATATGTCAGCTGGATTGTCTGTTGAAGAAATACAAGAAGGCAGCGTGGCCAACACAGGTATTGATTGTGTCCTTAATATTGTATTCATAATTCAAATCGCCAGGACATTTCAAAAATTATGTCCTTAGTTTTTGTCTCTTCATTTGACAATTTGTCGTAGAATTGATGACTTGCAGCAAACTAATGTATATGTAGTGTTGTTTGCAGAGCAAAACAAAGATGAAGCCGTTAACCAATATACTAGGAAAGGAAGAGAGATAGTATTCGTTTTGATGGTCCATCATTTGCTATTCTTACCCCTACTCCTCCAACTACAAAAATGAGCATTGATGAGGGTTTGTCTATGGAGGTTGAAGGAAATGTTGAAGACGAGCTTGGTCGAGAGAAAAGGAATAAGAAGCTTAGTTGGCAATTGAAATCTCCTTTTGAACAGAAAAGAAAAACAGGAACATCGATGGCGCACAATGAAAATACTCCCGAGTATATGGGCTGGATAAAATCAAAATATACTCGTACATGTATTTTTTATTATGCCAAAGATGATGAAAACTTATTGAAAATTCATTGGGTGGTCGGGCAAGGAGAAAAGGAAAGGTCGCAAAAAAGCATAAGTCCATAAATGTATTCATTATTTATTAATTGCTTACATTCGTGTCTTGAACTTATAATTTTAAATTTAGGACTAAGTGTATTGAGCTTGCAAGTCCTAAAGTTAAGTGTCCTTAACTTTTGAGATTGCAAGTCTAAGTTCAGGACTAAGTGTCCTTAACTTTTGAACTTGTAACTGTAAGTTAGCTGTCCTTAATAGTTGAACTTGCTACTCTAACTTCCGGACCAATGGTCCTTAATTTTTGAACTTGCTACTCTAACTTCAGGACTAATTGTCCTTTAATTTATGAGCTTGTACGTCTAAGTTCAGGACCAAGTGTCCTTAATTTTTGAACTTGTAACTGTAAGTTGAGGACTACCTATCCTTAACTTTTGAACTTGTAACTGTAAGTTCAGGACCAAGTGTCCTTAACTTTTGAACTTGCTACTATAAGTTCAGGACCAATGGTCCTTAACTTTTGAACTTGTAACTGTAAGTTAAGGACTATGTGTCCTTAACTTTTGAACTTGTAACTGTAAGTTCAGCACTAGCTGTCCTTAATTAGGAATTGAGGACTAACTTCTAACTTTGATATTTTCAAAATTTTCAGGGGACAAACTGATATATATGTTGACGATAATGTTATGAGAAAGAATCCATATAAATTGT